AGGTTCAAGAAGTGGGTAACTGCAACGTAAACTATGATAACAAAAAGTAATAACTGATGGAACCTGCAAATAAAACATACAAAAATCTTCCTGATGCGGTACATACACTATTAACATGCGCGTCTTCACTCTTTCCCAACGTTCTCTAATGTACTATTCCCTTGGAGCAAGAAACATGGAGGAACAACATGAATAATATGTAATAGTGTGTGGTTACGTAAGAGCTATGCTTTCTAATGGAACAGGTTTATTCATTTATTGTATTTACACGTAAATATTTATTAAAAATATATAGTGAGACATGTTAAACCTAAAAGCAGGCACAAGTGTTCTGTGATGAGATACAAGTTGCTTACCTAATAGCTTACAGAAATGTAATGCCAAAGGCAATATTCTATATTCCACTATATTTTGAGTCATTGTGAAAAGCGGTACTGAAATCATAATTCTCTTTATTTATACAATTTCAAAACGTGCTAAAACAATGCAGATTGGGCTTACACAATTCAAAAATTAAATTTATTGATTTCATAGACAATAAGATCATTAAACAAGGTCCAAATATTACTGTTATGGGCGCATGTAATATGGATAGTATGTACCAGTTAAACTATGGTGACGAGATGGTTACGTCATATAAACCACAATTGACTTTATGATACAACTAATTTGCTTCACGGATATGGAGTTTCAACCAATCAAATTATCCAGTTATCTTGTGTTAGTATCTGGTGATCTCGTGATAGTATCTGGTGATCTTGTGATATTATCTGGTGATCTTGTGATATTATGTGGTGATAGTTTCTCATGATTTTGTGATAGTATGTGGTGATAGTATCTGGCGATCTTGATAGTATCTATATTATCAAACATCGGAATCTTACAATAATGGTGTTATTATTAAAGATGTCAGCACGTGCCAGGACTGTAATCTCGGCACTTCCCGAGATTTGCAGTCTGAATCAAAATCACACCCTCATGTATCTTGCGATCTCGTGATAGTATCTGGTGCTCTTGTGATAGTATCTTGCGATCTCGTGATAGTATCTGGTGATCTCGTGATAGTATCTGGTGATCTTGTGATAGTATCTAGTGATCTTGTGATAGTATCTAGTGATCTTGTGATAGTATCTTGCGATCTCGTGATAGTATCTGGTGATCTCGTGATAGTATCTGGTGATAGTATCTTGTGATAGTATCTGGTGATTTCGTGATAGTATCTGGCGATCTCATAATAGTATCTATATTATCAAACATCGGAATATTACAATAGTGGTGTTAATATTAAAGATTTCAGCACGTGCCAAGACTGAAACTCGGCACTTCCCAAGATTTGCAGTCTGAATCAAAATCACACTCTCATCTATCTCATGATCTCATGATAGTATCTATAGTTATCAAACAATAGTGGCGTTAATTTTAAAGATTTCAGCATGTGCCGAATAAAAAAATTCAATTTCGGCCCCAACAGTCAGGACTGAAACTTGGCACTTCCCAAGATTTGCAGTCTGAATCAAAATAACACCCTCGTTGGTGAATTTAAGAGAATACATACTGATTCGTATTCGTATGACATGGTGATAGGTGTAGCTAAACATGGTCATAACCTTTACTAGCAAATGAAATATTGCCGGCAGTGCATATTTATATTCTGCTGCAACCAATAAATCATTCTTTGCCATTCATGTGCATTGTAGTTGATGTTGTAGCACTGACTTAAATTTAACGATTGTGTACTTTTTACTGTGTAAAAAATTGTGAATTTTACACCAATGTATACAGGTGTTGGATAAGAGTCTGCACTCAACAAAACAAAAGTTTGTCTGCACAAGAGACTTTACAATGTAAACAAACCAGATTTATTATTAAGTGTTATACAACCCGTATTTTAAACAAATAAAAATTACAATTAATTTGTTCGTTGATTTCTCTATGAAATGTAATTAAAACAATGCTGAATACATAACATCAACCTCAAGGAATGCATTTATTTTTTCAGAAAAGAAATTAAAGCAATGTTTGTCCATAAAAATCTAAATAATTTTTCAGGGTAAAACTTGCTGATTCTTGCTTTTAAAATAGAAGCAACAAAACACATAACAATTATTCCACCAATATATTAGTTTCACACCATGTCATGGTAAGCTTTGAGAATATGAATAAAAGCAGAAAGTAATAAATCTAATAAGAGAAAACGACGTCATTGAAGAAGAGTGAAATTGTGCTGCCATCATGGTAAATTTAAAACAAAACAAACCACCGCATAAAACCAAAATGTTCCCTGAATCTTTGGACAAAGTTATATATAGTATTAATAATAGTACTGATGCATCTACAATAACTTAATACATGTATATACACAACCATTGGCCTATCTTCCGCTTCTCTGAACATTACCACTATAGCTATGAAACAACAAGCCAGGAATGTTGATACTTCAACAGCCACAGCATCAAGGGGTAATTCCACTGGCTACTATTGTGCCAAACATTAACAGGCAAGTTCACCAAAATACACCAGTTTGTGATTATGATTATTATTGTCCACATGTCAAACAAGTACAGTATATATAACATCAAATTCAAATATTTACACCATGCACTAATCAACCATGACACTTGTCATACAGATTGCAGACTTGAAATTCAATAAATATGATTTTACAAACTATTGATATTAACATTGATATGACAGGTAAAACTAGAAGGCTATTTTGTAATTAAGTATATTTTATATTGGTTAGCTTATGTCACTGCCAATGTGAACAGATTAGTGAGATTAGATTTTGCAAATTGCGTAACTATCTGTGTTGATAGCAATGTCCAGAATATCAGTTGTACAAGCTGTGTGAAGTAGTTGTTGCAAATAAATATTTCAGAATAAAAAAAAATCTTATGTAGCAGTATATTGTTCCAGACATGATACAATATGTTCTCGCACAGAAAGGAATGTATGATTTTTGTTCTTCATGCATAGATTGTACTACAATCAAACCCATGTTAGCACCGCTTTTATTTAAATTTAACCATGACAAATACTTGTATTTTTATTTATCCCCCCTATTCAAAAATCTGTTGGCAAATTGTCCCATAAATTTTACCTACACATGAAGACCACCTGTCTATAAGGAAAAAAGTGCATTATAATGGTAAACTAGTGAAAATATGAAAACTGACCAGCACATTTGCTAGAAAGTATAAAAAAAAAATAGCTTCACATATGTAACTAAAAACATAGTTGAACTCTGGTGACCTTGCCCTTTGTTATATTATATAATTCCCTTTATCATAGTTTGATTCAATATAAATATGCATTGTCATAATTAATTTTGAATACAAACAAGTTTTGGGGTTGAACCAACAGTGGGGAATCAGTCTACCGAATGTCCTTAAAAGATGTAAATATCTTACAAAAACATTGGTGCCTTATTTTAAGGGACATGATTTCCAGCTTTATTCAAAGTAATTCAGATATTTTAGTATAAAAACAAATGTCTCATTGCAAAAAAGTGCTGCATTTAGATGTGAATAGATTCATAAAACATGCAAGATAACAGTAAATTTTAGCTGGCTTTAGTCAAAGTATTTTGTACAGGTGTCTGTCAAAAATTAATGATTTACTGAGACAAATATGAACTGCCTCATTGTGTGACTACTGTATTATATGAAAAGTAAAAAAAAATACCCTTTATGAATAGCTATCATGTTGCAAGCTCTGCTTTGTATGCATATCAACTTAAATAGTTGGTGTCCAGTGGAGGGAGAAGTCAACAGTACTGTTGCCTCCTGAGAATCTACATTTTCAAACACTGCAATCTTTGAAGTGCGTTTTTTAAACTAGTATTATAAAAACTCTTTCATTCTGTTCTAATAGCTGAAACATATTCCTGTGAGTTTTCATTTGTCGAATAAACTGTTTGTCAAATACAGAATAATTTTCGTTTTAAAATGTGGATGAAATGTTTTGCTTTTAATGTATTTTTTATGTATTGTTTTTGATTTGATAACTTTGAACTAAACAGATTTTCTATTAGCTTCAGATCTTGATCAAAGTTAGGCACCCAGTTCATAGGAGTGCTTATATTGATTTTCTGACATCTTGTTTTCTGTAAAGATTTTATTGGTAGGTTTGCAAATGTGTATCAGACTGTGCAATCTCTCCATGAGTTGGTTTTGAAACCCAGTATGGTATTCTGAGATACATTACCAAGGATATTATTAAAGTTAAATCATTTGCTTCATTGAACACATACAACAATGCATATTTCCACTGAGATCAGTGACCTTTGATGCGTATCACCAGTGATCAGTCAAGTAGAAACAGTCAAAATATTTTATCAGATTTTCTCAATTTTTGCATGATATTTTCATACAGAACATCTGTTGTTCAAACTCAGGGAAGACTTTATACTGATGAATAAGGTGACCAAGTTTGGTAAAGTTTGGAATAGAATTAGTAAAGTTATTATGCACACAATAACAATTATTAACGACGACAACGACAACGCCAACGCCGGACAACATTTTTCTCTTAATATACCTTTCCCTTCCATCTTTGATGGTACGGGCAAGGTAAAAACTGTTACATACTGGGTGACGAGATCCAGGTCCTCTTTCTCTAGCAGCCAAGCTACCATACTTACAATAGTGTCAATCTCATATGGTGTTTGTATGTGAGGAAAATAATCGCCAGATTTTACTATATCAGCTTCAGTTTTGTACCACTTAAGGTCTATATTTTATTCAACACATTAAAGAAGCAAGACAAAATTGTGTCATTTTGGTATCCATACATCTAGAGGCAAATTGTATCATGAATGACTGGTCATAAAGTCAACAACCATTTCCATGACAAAAGTAATGAGGAAGCAAGCAAAGACAAAAATAATCTACCTACTGTCAGCAATGATGCTATTTTAAGTCCTATACTCAAAACACATGTAAAAAAAAATAGCTGAGATGGTCTCCAACATAACAGTATTACAACTATATGATGATGTGCTATGCAGATTTTAGTCTCTTTCTTTTCTTTGATATTCTTTTAGCACAACCTTTGCCAAACCAGCCTGGAACTGTCTTGTACACTTCTGGTTCTATTTTCACCATTTTGCCATTTTCATTTAATACTGGTTTCATATCAATGTTGGAATGTGGGAAGATTCTCACAAGGTGTTTTGTCATCATTGTTTGTAGCTCGTCTACAGGTACTGGTGTCGCCAACTCAAATATAGGATCTCCATCTCTGTGAATTGAATATACATCAATAATTATGGTCTTTCAATTATTGTGACACTTTCGTTACTTCATGATATAAGACAGTTTCACTGAATTGTTAACGCCTGAGCTGATATTGAACATTTTGTTATAATTACATAAATATGATCAAATCTTATCGAAATAATGTTTTAGACAAAACTGCCATTGGAAAAGTGACCCTACACAAGGCTAAAGTCACATAAAATGCAATGTAAAAATCAAAGGTCAAGTAGCTGCCATTACGTAGAAATCACCTCTCAAAATTATCAGATATATTATGTTTTTCAGCCTATGATGGATGAAGTAGCGAGTGCCATATATATCAAATATAACAATTATGGTATTTGTGAGATATCTCAGTCTAATTGCAGCTTACTTAATAATAGAAATTCCATGAAAAACATGTTTCCTTTACAGTAGATATGATGAGCACCACATCTGTCTTAAGTTTATGAATGTGTAATACAGATGCAAGACAAGACAATTCAAGCTATCTCTCTGAAGTCCATAGATTATGTACTACTGTCAAAAATAGTGAAACTCAAAATAGATCACTTACCTTTTATATTGAGGTATCTCTAACCCTAACTTTTCCATAACCAGCTTCATGACATCATCACATTTGCCATTAATCTTCAAAGTTGAAAGGTCATCTTTTGGCGTCCACTTGTGGGACAATAATAGAAGTAATATATTTCAATTAAAAAAAATACTGGAATATACATTATGATGTAGAGAAGGTGTTGATTATTAAAAATAGTTGGATACACATTTGTAATGTGTGAAAAACCTTAGAATGAGATACACCTTTCATGAAAAGAATTTTGTTTCAGTTCTTCAAGATTATTATCCATTTTACTTAAAGTGGCTTTGAAATGCCTGCCAACATATTTCTCGCTTTGGATTTGTCTTCTACTGAAATAGACAATTATTGATTTTTTTGTTGAAAAAAATTACTCGTATCCAAGTAAATTTGATGTATCTCTTGTGTTGTAGCCACGCACACTTAGCCTGAAACAATCAACTTTGTCGAGCGGAGTTTATCATATGAATAGCTCTGCTCGAAAAAGTAAACAGCAAAGTTTGATATGGTTTAAAACATTTCTACTATGAAAATATCAATATGTTCAGGTTCAGAGTCATGGCAACGCAACATAGTAAGCCTCTATCTGATAGTGTACAGCTATGACAGCTAATGCTTAAATATCCACAATTTGATAATGAAAATAAATAATATTTCTATAGAGCTAGCCACATAATGAAAAGGTAGTAATATTACTGTCTTACCTGTAAATTTATAATGTATAATTTTGGACGCTTATGTGGCATTCTATGCATACCCCATAAACAAGGATATTTTCTCAGTATCTACGGAATAACAAAAACATTCATTCAATAATGTAATATTTTAGTACAAATTAGTACATGTTTGTGCCTCACTACCAGTGTTGACAATTTACATTGCTTCACACACAAAGCTATTTACATCTAAATGGAAATATTACAAAATATATATTTTCAGAAAATTTGAACAATTCTTCCAAAGCCAATCCAAGCATGACAGTCTTTTTTGAATCTCTGAAACACTTTTGAAGAAAGACTAATATATAATATCAAAGTGAATGTGATAGAAGCATGATTACACCATGCACACTTCCCATGTCGCAGTCTCCCTGCGACGCCATGGAATTACACACCGCTGAGACAACCAGTACAGTGCCAACCGTGAACGTTCTAGCTTTTCCAGAGCCTTGTATATGTATATTCAAAGTTCAAGTATCCCGCACACAGTTCCAAGTGTTGATAATAATGCAACACAGCCTGCCTTGTACCAATATCCATGGCAATACTGGTATCCATATACAAGTGTATGCAGTCTCCATACTATGGGTCAACGTTCCCACTGTATACACCACCAACCCATCCAGCAACCCAGCCACCGTTGCCAAAATCGCCACTGCCGACACACCCACCAAAGCTGGGTGACAGCAAATAAATACTGATTTTTCTAAACAAATTTGAGAATTTTTTCAAGCTTTTCTTTCAGCCTTAGCATGACCTCATAGATAGAGATTAAATGTTTAATAGTATGTTTTTATGTATTTGAAAGTAGTGTTTACAACCGGGAATAATGAAAAAAATGAAAGAAATACTGATTTTAAAACAAATGGAAAGAGTTTGCTTTCACCACATTTTTGTTTGCCAGTTGTATCCTATCCCTGCTACATGTATGTACTTGGATCAATCAATCTGTTGTGTTCATGATTTTCAGGGTGATCGCAGACTATTGAATTTCATTTCAAAATTTCATTGCTACAACATTTCGTGATTGGCCGTCCATAGATAAATGCCTTTACATAGAATTATTGTTAACTGTTGAATGTATATTTGTTAATTGTTTACTCTAGTTTCTGACAGTGGCATCAGCAATGCTTGTTTGTATTTGTTTAAATGTAACAATATTGTCTCTCGTGTCGTGCTTCAAAGAAAAAAACATTCTCTAGCAACATAGTTTGGCAACTTAATTTAGTTGGTAATATTCAGTAGCAAGCTGATATTTCAATGGAGCATAAATTTTAATTATCTCTATTATTGTTTTTTGTATAATTGCAGAAACATAGAGAATAAAAACAGAAATAACTTGCATATGTTTTGTCGCATTTGTGAAGATTATGAAAAATTAAAATGAAATGTGATCCAACTATCCGGTAATACTAAATAATATAAACAATTATCTCAGAAAGTACATTAATGTAGGTAAGGAGGTGTGTTTTTAAATACTGCAGAAAAATCATGCACACTGTGCTGCTATTTTGGTTACCTCAATTGTAATACCCCTCCTTGTCACCCAGCATGCATCGTTGCAATGTCACAACAAGCATTGTGTTGCCATGGGTGGTGGCCCATGGTACAAAGCACTCTAGAAATAAGGTACATGTACTAGATTCTGCCGTAAATTTGCCCATCCGAAAAATCGCCCTGGGCAGTTTCACGGCTGGTGGGCCTATATTTGAGGTTCAAATTTTCAAAAAATTATCATCAAATATTTTTAGGGGTTTATATTTTCATTGAAAAATCCACCTATGCCAATTTTCAACACCGGCAGTTGGACCACCCAAAACGAAAAGAAACTATTGCAGAAGCTAATCTAAAATTGTATAAATTTTTTTCTAGCTGGATTAAAAAGTAGACCGCGCATCTTTCTCCAAAAAAATCACATTAACGAACCTCGTGCCCCAAATACAATTATTTTGTTTCATTTTATTAGTAACAAAAGTATATTTAAAAGAAGTTTCAAATAACAACGAACACAACTGCATTCCTTAGTAACAAATAAAAGTGGTAGCGCAATCCGGTAATGCCACGTTTCACAATTGTTGATTATTACCTAGTGAAGATTATAATAACGTACAAAAAATAAATTTGTTGAATTGTTATGAAATTCAAATAAATTTCAACTTATTTCATCAATTCCGATCGCATTTACAGCTCGATGCGGTAGAAATGAATATCCGCCATGTTTCAACCTAAAATGGTGTTCTTTGACCTGACAGGTCAAATCGATAATTAACCAATGAAAACGATGGATGATACCATAGCTCATTTAAATATGTTAATGTTATTGAACTCAGCACGGAAGAGATTTGCCGATGTTGTTGTACGATGTTTTGGCTTGGATTTTGATGGGAAAGCAGCATGATTTGTTTTTAATTAAAAATAACAGTTGTTTTCAAAAGATAAACTGAGCATTTGAAGAATAATTTAACATTGTTTACAGCGATAACAGCTCATTGTCGAAATAAAGCTAACCCATTCACGCTAGTTGCAATAAACACCAATACTCTTGAATAGGCGTCAATGACTACAACAACAAGTTTAGGCATCAGAAAAGACTAAAATAACACCTTAAAAAACTGCCGAAAAATCGCCCTGGGCAGTTTCTTGGTCTCATTTTATTTTTTTTAAAACCTGAACTGATGTTTAATGGGCCTGGGCCGATTTACAGCAGAATCTGGTACTTCCAGAGATCAGGGTTCATTTATTTATTGTCTGCAGTTTAATAAATTTTGCCTTGAATAAATGTTTACAGTAGTTCTATGCGAGTTCATCACGGGCAATTGAATAATAAAACTGCAAATAACCCATGTTCAGCAAATCGGAATAGATCTTCATGGCATATGCTGAATTTGTGATTTGCATGACTTTTTGTCATTATTCTAGTATTTGTTTCAGATTTAGAGACGCCGCATCCATGAAAGGATTTTCTTATTCACAACACACAACAGTATAGTAATAGCTGGGACACAATTGTGTACGTCCCTTAATGCATGTATTCTAATATGTTCATTATTTAATAAATGTTCGATGTTGAACACATATTACATTTAAATTACAATATTAAAATTAATTTAAGCACACTTTCATACCTTAAGACTAGATCCAAGACAAAGTATCAAATCAGCTTGCTTTGCAGCTTCAGCGGCTTCCTCCCAGTTGAGAGGTTGTTCCAGATTACCCTTCTCACCAAAGTGTACTATTGAATCCCTGAGTGGCGAATTACATTCTGTGCAGTATCTATCAGTAGTGTGGCGACGAAATGAACTCTTCTCTGTCACATCAAATAACCGAATATACTCTCTATCACACTCTGTGCACACCTTGATACAAATTGGATTCAAAACAAGGTTAGTCAGTCTAATAGATATTTTAAATACTGTGCAATCAGTTCAGGATTATCACCATTATTGTGACAATGATGCAAGACATAAAATAGTATAAAATTACACTAAATGAAAACTAATATTATTACCCGGTAAAACACACACATTACATATCAACTGCAGATTGAACAGTCATTTGCCATGAATAGCACCAGTTGTCCACATTTAATATGCAAATGAGATAAAATATACTCTTCTAAAGTTGAGTTTTATTGGCATTAGTTATGAAACTTGAATTTCCAAAGTTTTTGGTACCCAATAATTATTGTTTAATGTTTGTAATTTGAATTATTTATATTCTTGCACAAACAAGAATATCAAGAGGCATGAAACTATGCAAATTTGTCATGTGTCCATGTAGTAATTCTCAGTCTCATTCATAGTCTTTGACTACAACTCACAGTAAAAACAATGTCAATGCCAGGATGATATACATCTGCTAAGATCTGTCAGATTGAATTATTTTCTCAGGCGGATCTTAATCGCCCCAGGCGCGATCATTTTGTGAGGTTATGTGTACAAGTATCTGATTGTCGATTTCATATCATTAGTACTTGTATCTGGTAATTTTGAAAAAAAATAAATAAAACAAAAAAACTTGGATCCGAAACCACAGCGACAACCCATCATTGATTTCCAAATAAATGTTAACATGCATGTGAATCAGTCGGTGTCCTTGTGTGCAAGTGATTATTAGGATCATCAAAATATAACTTATTTTGACCATAGACACATATTTAATCATGTTCACTACTACCGTACTTCACCGAGTATAAGCCCAGAGGCCTGAACATGTAAAATTGGGAAAATTAGGGGGTGGGCTTATACTCGAGGACCACCTCAGAAAAGATAATTTTCTGGCGGTTTTAAAATTGTAACCCTCTTCCCAACCTCGAAAAATCATCAAAATTACATTTTTCGTTTACAGCGCCGGTCTCGGAGAAATATTACGTCTTTTTGATTTCCACGACACTTTTTACAATGAAGAAACAATTATGTTTAAAAAAATACACACATTTTATTACAATACGGTTTACATACCGTCTGAATTTACGGTGCAAAAATGGGTCGGGTCTGTGGGAAAACTGTCGAAGGCAAGATCTTCATTATCTTCGTTGTGGAATGTTTTCGATCGCTCGCAAACTCTCGATACAAAGCAATTTCCGCCATGGTGTTTGTCATCATGATTTGACCTGAACAACTTCCTTTGACCTCACAGGTCATGTCTTTCGTTAACCAATCAAAATGCTGTGTCGTACAGACGAAGTTTTCTGATTATTGACGAAGTAATTTTTTCAACGCAATGTGGAAGTGAATTACCGCGATGTTAAAATGTGATCTGATTTCGACAAAAAACGGTGATTTTTTTTCCTAAAGCTGTTGATGCTCAATTTTCGAAAAGTAAACTGAGGTTGGAGGAAGTATTTAAACGTTTCACGGTCGCCAACAAGTCATGTCGAAGAATAGTTTGCTCGTTCACATCCCATTCACAAAGGTCTCAATGGACATGATTATTCGGATAAGTAAAACGATGTTCAATGACCATTTTTGGCGTTTCTAAAACCACTACTCAAAAGGAATATGGATTAATTATTTCAGTATTGCAACATTGGAATTCATCGTGAGTAAATAACAGAATAGAAAAGGTGCGAACCATGTTCCGTACGTTCACCAGCCATGCACTTTAATGGAGCTTTCTCGTAAAAGCAGAAACCAAACTACCGTACCAATCACGATTATTATGCAATGAAATACACTTTTTACTTGCATATTTTAATAAATGTCATCGACACCCGATAAAAAACCCCTGGGCCTATACTCGGGGATGCCCTCAACTTGTTAAATGTCTAAAAACAGAGGGTGGGCTTATACTCCGGGAGGGGCTTATACTCGGGGAAGTACAGTAATAGAACAAATACATGTACAGTAATGCCCAGCAAATTTAAAAGAATGGATACTATACCTCAATATACATGTTGCCATGAACTTCAGACAGTGCACTCCTTGGTAAACCACTCCGTAAATGTAAACCATCACAGTTTTGAGACACTACATGTTTCACCTGAAATTTGATGTCATAACACAAATAATAATTCTGATTATTATTATTATTCTTTGTAATATAACAGATATATTTTCTTCCAATTCAGGATAAAGTTTTCTAGCATGGTGAAAGTACAACCAATATTTATATATTTATACTAATCACTGCAGTGAAAGGTTTTATTTAAACTTACATGATTGACTTTATGAAGTGTCGAAATAGCCATGTGTGTGAGGGTTGGTTCAGCATCTACCAAAGAATTAGTCCTGAGAATAAAAAAAATGCATGAGCAATTTGTATACTATTGGTGCAGATTTACATACTGACCTTATCTTTTCCTACTTATGTAGCATGTCTATTTTAAACCATAGTTTTAAAAAAGGCTGATCTATTTTTGTGCAAGTACAGTAGTGAGCAATGTTTTTAAAAACTGAAAACAACAGTATTTTATTGAGTTGTACTCAGATGTTTTTGATGGTTATTGGTGTTCAGACTAGTGTGTGGCATAATGGATTGTATGAATATGCCCACCTTGCAGGGAATATGTAAATGTAAAATTTTCAATGAAATGTGTTCAAACCTGTTGAATGCTCAAGATTTTTTTTATTCATATAGGTACAACCACAGTCATACAGAAAAAGGAAAGATATTCTACACAAATGACACATACCATAAAAAATGTCATACTATGTATATATGTAAATAGTCCAAAACAACTGTCTCAGATTACAGCTTACACCACCAAAATCACGATAGTCCAAGACAACTGTCTCAGATTACAGCTTACACCACCAAAATCACGATAGTCCAAGACAACTGTCTCAGATTACAGCTTACACCACCAAAATCACGATAGTTCAAAACAATTTACAATACAGATCTGACTAAAACTTTATTACACTAATGTATGCATATCAATTTATATAAATTATGTATCTCAATATTCATTCTTGATTATGTAAACCTACTCATTAATTCCCATTTTTTACACACCACTATTTCCCACTTTCGTTTAAATTACAGATTGGGTGTATGTTTTACAGATGGTGTAGTTTGGCGGGTAGCAAATGCAACAGAAATCAAAGAAACCTTAGAAAGAACTTCTGTGTGCTGAGAGTATTTGAGACATATTAAAATTTTAGATTAGCCTTTCAAACAAGAAGCTTGAGCAATTAATATTTGGAGTACACAAAGTAAAAACAATGATCCACATTATTGAAGTTATCATACTTTAATACTGAGAATAAATTTGAATTTTACATCTGTGGTTTTCAGTCTAATTTATTCCAGAGCACCTTTGCCACATGTTCAATTTAAATCTAATTTTTTGAGAAATTGGCTAATAATAATAAACTAATAATCACATTTTAATGCAACTTGTATTACAGGTAGGTGAATTCAATGACACAAGCAATTACTAAAGATGAATTGTACATACTTTTCCAGAGGTTTTCCTTTCTGTAACAATGTCCATACACCATTAGGCCCTCTATAGTCAGGAATGGATGCAGCCTGTAGTAAACATAGTGACACTATTAGTATGTATGTATACTGTGGAATACTTTATTTTCGCTGGAATCAATTTTCGCTGAAAAGGCTTTTGGGGCGTTTTGCTTGGAATTTATTTTCACTGATTTTTGATGAGATTAAAAACAGCGTCCGGATAACTTTCGGAAATTCCGTCGCGTTTCGGAAAGATTTAATTTTCACAACTTTTGAATATTTATTCATACTTTTAGGCTAGTGAGGAGGTTATAATAATTTTTCATTTCACTTTAACTCTGTTTT